TATACTGACCCTTTTTTATGACACACCTCCCTATACTGACATTTTTTATGACACACCTCCCTATACTGACATTTTTTATGACACACCTTCCCATACTGACACACTTTCAAACTATAAAGCATTTAATTTTTGCTGCTGGAAGTTTTTTGCTGTTTCAGTATTGTATGTCATTCATTAATTCACAAAAGTCGCAGAGGCTCAATGCTGTTGAATCCAAATAAATTTTTTACTGCTACTAAATTTTGTGTTGCAAAAATTATTATATCACACTATCACTTTCTAATAACCTAACTACATATACTGACACTTTTTGATTACCTAACTACATATACTGACAATTTTTTGATGACACCTTTTGATACTGAGACTTTCTTGTGACGCCTCTTATACCGATACTTACACTTACTTTAATGACATCCTTCTTCAGAGTATACTGACAGTACTTAATGCATATCTACACTGTATATCTTTCACCCGAACTGTCTACTCCATACATGAATAGTGATAACAAAGTGAGGGCAGTTTATAATACATTATGACTTTGATACCACTAACTTTCTTCCCATAACATATTCCGTAACAGTGTAAAAGAAAGTAATAGTTATCTGATGTGAACTGAAAACATTTCTTGTTATATTCAGGCAGTGGAACATGTGATCCTGGTGATTCAGTGGATGTTGAAGTGTCACTATATGCCCAACAATCTGGATTGGAAGATTTGTATCTATTGAAATCCATGGATTATCAAGCATACAGGGTAACAAAATTGCTTTTGTTATTGAAAATGATATCAGCCTAGTCCCTGTCTGTTCTGTCTGACCATTAACCGGCTGACATCATTTCTCTGACATGTCAGACATGTCAATATCCATTCTATCGTACCAAACTCAATTGACACATTAAAATACGTCTCTGCTGTCATCTGCAATTGCCTGAACGTATTTCCTTTTTACAAATAATCTATCATTTTTTTCGAGATGTCTGGTGTCACTTTAAGATCACTTTGAAAAAATACCAACAGGGACTGTGTCATTTTCAAGGATTTTTTCTCTGCTATGAATGTCTGTGATTTTTACCTGTCTAATTTTTACCTTGATTAAAATAAATCATCTGTACTTCCACTTTGAGAGCAAACTTAATAGAGGAATCATGACTGCACTTGTTGAAATGTTAAAGTAACTGTGATTTGGCTTTTTCTGCCCCAGTGTATATGCTATCTAAACTGGACTATCTAAAACCTCTTGTCTGGTGGCACCATTGCAATGCCTATTATTTGAGGTGTCAATCTGGCTTATCCTCGGGGGCGGAGCTACATCACGGACGTTCTACGTTGCTAAGACGCGCACCACTGTACCACGTATTTCTATGGGCTCTGTGCATGCTGCTGTGGAACGCCGGTCGAGCCGGTGAAAACTCGAGAAAACAACACAAACTCAACTTTGAAGTAATCCTGAACAACCAAATTCCTATATGTTACACACGTAGGGCTAATCTTGTTACACTGTTCAGGGGACTCTCAACAACCATCGCAAAATACCGTTTTCTGCGAGTTTTTGGTCTTTGTTTTCACCGCGAGGGTTGCCAGGCGGTAGAAAATGCCCGGATGTCCGCCCCCGAGAATTGGTGCTTATTTACATGCCATACTTGTACTCTCATGAAAATTACTTGTCTTCCACATTCATTGCTTGTATTCTTTTGAAAATTGCAGCCATGTGTCAAACACACAATTGCAAATTACATTTTAGAAATTTTTGTATAACTTGCTCATTGAACACATTTTATCAGTTGAAATTTGATGTTTTATTGTACTTTAATTTGTTTGTATTAAGACTCTTTGTGTTCTTTTTCTAATCATTAAAAAAAAATATTTTATCTACTACTGATTTAGAAACCAAAACTGATATCTGTGGCTGTTCCAAGCAATGCGCAGACCCTCTCTACCAGATTCTGTTTTATACAATACCAACATGACGGAGAGAATAGACATGTATGGGCTGTGGACAACTTTCAGATGTTACCAAGGTTACCAAGCAATGTCAACAAGTATCTACAGTTTAGTCTGAATCTAGAATGTGGATCAACTCATCCAGCCAATCAGTAAGTCAATGTCATATTGATGAATCAGTAAGTCAGTTTCATATTGGCCAATCACTAAAGTCAGCTTTGAAGTGGCCAATCATTAAGTTGATCTCATAATGACCAATATCTAAGTCTGTTTTATATTGGCCAATTAGAATTTCAGTTCCATATTGGCCAGTCACTATAAATCCAGTTTTATATTGATCAATAAATTTCTGGTAGATGTTTCCATATTGGTCAATCTCTAAGTCAGTTTCATATTGGCCAATCAGTATATATGTTTTTTTCATATTGACCAATCACTGAGTCAGTTTTATATTGACCAATCAATTTCTTGTGGATCTTTTTATACTGGCCAATCACTAAATTAGTTTCTTTTTGGCCAATCACTAAGTCAGTTTAATATTGATTCAGAATTGTAGTTGAGATGTCTACTGATCATGGTACCAGCTGGTCATTGGTCCATTCATCTTGTCTTCCTGGTAACTGTACTGGATCTCATTGGTCGGAAACTACAATATACACGCAGATGAACATGATGGGTGAGTAGATGACATCTGAATTTTCAGAATTTCTTACGTTTATGATTGTTCAACTATTGAAATTCATATTACAACCATATTTGGCAATTTCTGTATGGATAATTAGAGGTTTCTCGCAGATAATACCAGAAATAATTTGTTGTAGTGTTTGAAGTAGTATTGATATTTCTTTTGAGCATGTAACATGAAAAGAATACGAATACGAATACTGCATTGAGCAATGTCATATATTATATTCTGTAGTAGCCTCAAATAACCTCTGTATCAAAAAAAGCATTTTTTAAATTGAGCTGTCTACGAGTAAGATGGCAGAGGTCTGCAGCAGCTGCAGAGAGTACAGTGTGCATACTATAAGGCTTAATTGTACTCAATATTGTTATGGAATACCCTTATATTTTATGTGCAGATTCTGTCTAACATTGTATGATTTGATTCACCAATTTGAACACCAGTCAAAAAATAATAAACAATATATTGTTTGCTCTGAATCAATTGCCACAGAATATTAAGAATATTACCACGGATAAAACAATAGGAACACACATATGTCACCTACAGTTGTTTATATGATTCATTTAATATACATGTACGTAGTGGCTGATCTTGATATGCATGTGCATTTTTTTCATCTTACCAGCAATAAGATTGTTGACATTTCTGTTATTTGTTTAAGGTGGTTTCGAACTATAGTACCACTTCCATATACAACACTAACAAGATCTACTAGATTCCGATGGACACAACCTGACATAGGCATTTCAACAAACTGGGCACTGGACAGTGGTAAGATTATCAATAGCTTTGTTTCCTATATTCCTGTCTTGGAATGTTATGTAAAGTCTGTGCAAAATGATTTGGATGCAAGGAAATTTACATTGTCTGTGCTATGTACACTCTGGATTTGTCTGGTGTTCCATTGAAGTCTAAATCTTAAAAGTATATTTGCTTTTAAAACTGGTACAAAAGACGTCGCTGATAATATTACCAATACAAATCATGTTTATATGTATGACAAAAACGTTCAGAAAGATATAGCCTAATTGAACTAGGACATTTTGAATATAATTTGATCTAGCTATTTTTTTGCAATTTTGTACAATTAATTTTTTGACTTTGGACCAAATGAACATGATTTTCCACTGCTACAGATCCTGATCAATAGTTTTGAAAAAAATACAGAAAACATTTTTAATGTTTATTTTGTTAATAGTTACAAAAGTTGACTTTTATGCTCAAAGGGTCAACTTTTTTTTTTGAGGAAACAATTAAGTTCATCAAAAAAATAAATATGGTATGGTCATATATGGTGGACATGTGTGTTGGAGTATATAACTTGCACATTAGCTTGTTTAATTATTTGTCTAATATTTTGCGTGTCTAATGAGGAACATGTACTAGTAGGGATAATGCTTTCAATGTTATTGTAACAGTAATATATTAATAAGTGTATGCAAAATGTACTGTTATCAATGGTAATTATTATATACTAATATTTAAATTTTTAAATTATGATTCCCAATTATTCTAAATAATGTTTATATATAACAGTGTACATTGGTGATGGATGTGGTGATGGTATGTGTTCTGGACATGGATTCTGTACTGGTAAAGGATGCAGGTAATAATTAAACCCTTTTGTTAGCTGGTGTACTCGGCTATAATCCGCCTGTGTGCTAGGCTTGCAGTTAAGTTATGGGTTCACCATTTGAAAAATGTGACATGGAATTGAGTGTGTGATCGATTTGTCAAGGGTTGAAATAAAAACTGGCTGTTTAGGATTGAATCAAAAACCAGAATTCGAAGAATGATTCCGCATGTATAACACAGCATTAATAAAGAGCAATGGATTACTGTGGGTTGAATATTGTTTTCTCTATAAAAAAGAATTCTGTAACATACTAAACCACCTGTGTGCCCTATAAGCCAATATGACGCATCACTGACTCAAGAGATTCTTTGTGACGCAACTGTGCTTATTCCCTGGCACACTACAGACATACACATAAGAAATCATACATTGATAAAAATTAACGTATGAATGGAAAAGTTTTACTATCATAATTATAATTATGGAATTTGGTCATGTGAATTGAAAATTTTATAGACAAAATAAGAAATTAAGGTGTCACAACATATTTTGCTTTTCCAGTTTTGCTACAGAAGAATATTCAGAATTTTTTCCAAGCAGTCACAAAGTTAATCCAACTGGTTTTTTTTGAGATTCCCTTTTGATTCCAACAAAATTAGTACTGATAGAGGGCACACAGATAACTACATCATGTTGCTGAATATAAAACATTCAACAAAGTAGAGACATAATAATTGATCTTCTAAGTGGCTCTTTATTCTCAGTTGTGATGCTGGTTATTCTGGGCCGAAGTGCAACATCTATTCTGAGCCACTCCCCACCCACCTGAGAGAACACTTTGAAAGTGAACTATTAGAAGATGATTATCAGTTCTCAGAAATCTTAGGAGGACAAATAGGTTTTCAATGTGGTATTTTATCACAAGGCAAGTCATTCGTATTCAACCAAGCAGGAAGTAGAATTCTGAAAACACAGGAATTAGATACAACCACAACAAGGTAAATTTAATATTTTGTTATATAATATAATAATTATTACTTTATTACATTATTAGAATTAATATTTTCTATCTTTCTATTTCTTTCTTTTTAGAATTAATAATTTCTATACAGCAGCAAAAGGATTATATAAACAAAAATCACCTCTTTATAAAAAATGAAATATAAAATGAATGAATGTGAATATACCGGGTAAAATTAAAATGCATCATCGTCATCTTCTTTCAGTTTTAACTTACTGACAGTAACATATTAATTGTCTACTGTCTAGATACGTACAGTTCACAATAAGACTTGGAAGTTATTCCACTGTTGGTGGATGTCAGCCACCTGATATAGTTACTGAGAGTGTCTTTGTACACTATAGTTGTAATGGTGGTATTGTATGGAATTTACTTGATGCATTGAACTTCCAGCTATACCAACAACCAAAGTAAGTCAAAAGTTTTGATGTGACTGTAAGTGTGAAAACTCTATTATTGTATATTATTGAATGCTTATTCAATTTATGGGAAAGTTCACCAAAAAAAATCATTCTCCATATGATTCATACAATCACACAGTGTATCTTTTTACTGCTTTTTTGCTTTTTAAATTTTTTCAACATTGTGCTTATTAGAAACAACTTGAATACTTGTTGTCTGAAGTCCCTTCAGGAAGTACTGTAAAATAAATTGTGGGCTGCTGGCAATTTTTGTGATTAAATGGCAATCGTCATGACAACATTTTGTGAAAGTCACTAACACTTTAGACCCCACGATATTCACCGACTCGTAAAATTTCGTACTGAACAGTAGTTCAGGGTTCAGTTATTTATTATTTGTTGTGAATTATCTTTGCTAGAGTTGTAACACTGTGGTTGCCCGTCGATGCTCACAAACCTGGCTGTATGTTTCGATGGTGGCAACCAACCAACTCAGGCTTAAATAAAGATGTTTGGGCTATTGATGATATTACCATAGCAACTGTACTTCATAATACCATCTCAAGTGACTTTAGCGATACTCAGATTGTGAATGAAGCATTCAGTTTTCACCGTGGAGAGATCAAAGACGCGTGCGGCTACAAGAAGGCATTCAGGTACATATTAAAATAATTTCTCATGACTTTTAATTCCAAAGTTAATTTTTTCATGTTGACGGAATAAATCTGGGAAAAACCACATTATTTTCAATAAAGACCTGTGGGGAAAATACAGCTCCAAAATTTTGGAGAATATATTATATTACCACATCACCTGGTGAAAACTTTCTTGAATAGCCACAGTTAGTTATCAATGACATAAAACAACATCAAGAGGCAATGTGTTCACAGCTGAAAGTTGAAATTTCTGGTAAATTTGTTTTACCAAAGATCAATGTTTTCAGACAAATTTTAAAAATATATTAAAAATGTTGATCTCATTTCCTTCAATATTCAGAAAAAACCTAAAAAAAATTTTGACACACACATTTTTTTACCTGACATGAAATGACCAGAAACATGTTTTGTAGGTTAACTGTAATCCTTTTTTTCACATTGAGGACTTGATCATCTCTGCGTGGTGAATTCAAAAGGACAATACATGGGAGAGGGTTAAACGATCAGATCAAGTGTGAATAATGTGAATAGTTGGACCATAGATATTGCATGCAAATATTCAATATAGAATTGTTTAAATTCATGTTCAATTAATGTTATTTTGTCCACTTCATGATACTTGAATAGCATGAAATTAGTGTCCCTGATACTGTGTGTATTGTGAAATACAAATAATATTGCAATGGAATTCACACAGTAAAAGTATGTGAGGAATCTATATTATAATTTGGTTATTGGTCACATTTGGTGAGATGTTTCCCTCCTATTTCCGGTATATTGATTGACATTTGTCAATTTGAGTCTTGTGTGTTCAATGTTTGTTTGTTTGTCATTTATTAGTCCCCAATAGGGGTTTGTGTAGTGAGTTCTGATGCAAAAATGGTTTGAAAATACCCGGTATATGCTGTAGGATTTTGTTATTAACCCCCTCTTGTATCAAAGTAGGTGTCCTTCTTTAATATAGAGGGTCAGGGAAGAAGAATATATGGTTGATGCAATCCCTGGTTCCCAATTGCCTGTTTGGACATAGTCCAGATACAGGACTTATAGTTTCACCTCTGTGAAGCCCATGTATTCGCATCTGTATTCCAGACATGCCTTGGTTATTTTCATTCAATTTTTGTATGTCCATTGAACATAGTTTCTTCTTGATGCACATCATTTTTGTTTCCAGATTGGTTTCAATATGGCTGACTGATGGCCATTTTTTTAAGCGAATGCTTTTCCAGAGCCATATCTCTGACATTTTAGACCAGTCATATTCAATCTTAACACATACATCACACATCATGTCATACATGTGCATGCATTTCTTTTGTGATTCAATTCATGCATTTCTACCATTCCGGAACCTGGTTGACTGATGACCTTATCTCGTACATGCCTGCCCCAATACACACATCAGACATCATATCATACATACATTCATGTCTGTTTGTTTCATGATCTAATTCATGATTGCCAAATGAGGATGATTTCAGTGCTAAAAATTTATCAAAATTGAGTATTCCTGCCATTCGGGAACTGATAATAAGTGACAAATGGCCAAAAAAGAGTTATAATTCTAAATTTAGTAGTATGTATTAATTTAATAAATGATGGTCTGGTGAAGATAATGGTTATTAAACACAATCTTGCCTTACTGCAATCATGGCCATTTTAAAAATACTATTTTATAACCATGTTACAGGATAGCCAGATATTAAATATGTCTAGCATTCATTGGCCACTTAAATACACCTGTACAAGTTCTTTTAAAATAGAGCTGTGACAATTTTAATTATCCCGGGTTTACATATAACTGATGGTTTTGAGTCCTAAACCATAGTTTACCTAAATTATGCCAAATATTACAGTGTGAAAAATTGCATATTGTCCTCGTGTGTCATATCGACTGGTGTTCCTCTTGAATACTGTGGAATACTTTATTTTCGCTGGAATTAATTTTCGCTGAAAAAGCTTTTTGGGCATTTTGTATGGAATTTATTTTCACTGATTTTTGATGAGTTTAATGTGAGACATAGGAAAAAAAGTATATTCGCTGGATTTTATTTTCACGGAATCATCCCTTCAGCGAAAATAGCGAAAATAAAATATTCTACAGTATACAGGCTTTATTATTGGATCTCTTATTGTATTAATTTTTTATTTATATATCCTTATACCGGTAGTTTCTCAGGCACAGCCGAACCAGGAAATATACGTTACATTGAGACTCAGTCCTTGCAATTGGGACCCTCATCAATGGTACAGTTTGATCTTATGATGGGATGTGGCCAACCATATAACAGAAATAGTGAACAAGGTGAGTCGTTCAATTGTTTTATGCAGAATGATGCTTAAAATTAAAAAAAAAAACAGTTGTGAAAAATTAAACTGATGAAAATATTTGTTGTAAAAAATGAATATTTATGATATACTGGTATATGAAAACTGATGTATCTATGAGAATAAGATATTGACATTTGAATTAATTAATATGCAAATCTGCTAAATAATAATCCACTGTAAAATACTTTATTTTAGCTGGAATTAAATAAATAACGTTTTGAGTGTTTTGTATGGAGTTGAATGTAAAATATAGAAAAACAGGTTTATTCGCTGGATTTTATTTTCACTGATTCATTCCTCCAGCGAAAATAAGTATTTTACAGTATTTGCTACAGTCTGTATACAGTACATGTGTGAGGGCGCTGTTCTTGCACCATGGTACTGCTTATTTGCAGCACTTTATAACAGTGGCTGATTTTCACACTATAATCCATCTATTACTGACAAAATTTATTAAAAACAGTTTCCTTAAAGACAGCAATACCTCCTTCCACTTCACTCTCTTTGTTTTTTTATATTGTTCTTTTATTTGTTTACTAATTTAAAAATGGTATATCTTCAATTCTGTATTTTATAAGCTTTTTTTCGTAATTTTTGTTTGTGTAGTGTAGTGACATTTTTTAGTGATTGTATGTTTGTCTTTGTTATGTAACCATTTTAATTTCTGATGAGTTTATAAGCATTTTTTGGTAAATTGAATATTGAAATTGATTTTCACATGTAATTCCCCCAAAGAAGAATGAGATTTTTGATCGGGTATGGGTGTGTGTGTGATTGATCTAAATAATACATTTACCATTTGCAGTTATGGCATAATTTGATGTAAAAATATAATTGAATTTGTGTCACTTATTAAAATAATGAATGGAGATGAGTCATTCAAGATACTATAAAAACACACTACTAAAAGTGACATATCATTGACGTAAAACTACAAGTATAGTGCATTATTATACATCTGTCACCATAACTCCATAAGTTACAGCGTGCCGTAATTTTGCTGTATTTTACGGGGTATTTTTACCCTACCATATTAGGAAATGCGAATACTAAATATGGAATGATTACGCGCGTAAGCATCCTCTAATAATAAAAACAAACATGGCTGCCACCAGGGTTTGAATGGACTCCACAAAAAGAAGTTCGCTGATTCTGTTCTAAACATTTTGGATTTCGGCATTCCCATGATGTATCTTTGGAGGGGAAAAATGTATAATAATAAAGTTATTACGAGGATAC